AGGGTAAAAAATGAGCTAATCCCAAGGGCTCAAGTAGAAAGAAAATGTTTTGGAAATGATGAGGGCAACAAATGTACAAATGTGCTTGACACGATGGATGTATGGATTGTGATAAGAGCTGTATCAGCCCCCAATGAAATGATTTTTTAAAAAAGATTCAAGAATTAAGCAGAGGATGCAGGCACCAGGATCCAGAAGTTCAGGAGACCAGGGCCTCCATCCAGAGCTGAGAGTGAGGGAAGGTCGTCTACTACAGCCCAATCCCTCAGGTTGAATTTCTAGCTTCCTTAACTGAGACAATAAATTTCTCTGTGTGCAAAAGCCAAGAAAATACCATAGCTTGGGTCAGGCGCACCTTAGACCTCAAAGAAACACTGCTTTTAACCCTTTAAAGAAGTTTTTTGCAGAAGATTGACCCAATGCAATGCATCTTTTCATCTCTTGACTACTGCTTCCATGAGCGTTATTTGTGGATCCAGGTGAAACAAAATCCTTGACAACTTCTCTGTTTATCACGATGTTGCCTATTGGTCCAGTTGTGAGGATTTTTGTTTTCTTCACATTGTGATAAGCCATATTAAAGGGTGCAATCCTTGATCTCCATCATCAAAGCTTCAAGTCCTCTCTTTCCGGAAGCCTTTCTCCAAACCTAGTGCCTTGTTCTTCACAGATTGAATACGTGTGGTGAGAATGCAACACAGAAACACATTAATTTTAAACCATACAGTATTCCTTTGTTCTCTGCAAACGATTGCCTTTTGACTCATTTGTGGGTTCCTCAGGACCACAATGAAGTAATCTGGGTTTCCCGTTCTTCTCAAAGCTATCATAGTTTGTTATGGCCCACACACTCAAATGTCTTGGCATAGTCAAACTAAGTAATCATACTCATGGTATTCTGTTTTCAGCAAGATCCATCTGACACCATCAGTGCTATCCCTTGTTCCATGTCCTCATCTGAATCCAGCCTGAATTTCTGGCAGCCTCTTGTCAATGTACTGCTGTAACCATTGTCAAATTATCTTCAGCAAAATTTAACTTGTATGTGATATCTATGATACTGTTCTATAATTTTCGCATTCTGTTGGGTCCCTTTTTTTTGAATGGGTGCAGGTATTCTGTTGGCCAGGTAGCTGCTTTCCATATGCCTTGGCACAGAACGTGCCACCAGTGCTTCATCCACTTGTTGATACATTTCAACTGGTATTCCTTCCATTGCTGGGCCCTAGTATTTGGCTAATAGCTTCAGTGCGGCTTCGATGTCTTCCTTCAGTACCATTGGTTCTTGATCATGTGCTATTTCTTGAAATGGTTGAATGTTGACTAGTTGTTTTTGGTGAAGTGTCTCTGTATAGTCTTTCCATAATCTTTTGATGCTTCCTGCATTGTTCAATATTTTGTCCATAAAAATCTTTCAGTATTGCTACTCGAGGCTTGAATTTTTTCTTGGGTCCTTTTAATTCAAGATACACAGAGCTTGTTCTTTTGGGACCTTTGCACATTTCATTATAATATCTTAGTCTTCTGAAGCTACCCTTTAAGATTTTCGGTCCATCTATTTGACTTTATTTCTTCCATGTGCCATAGCCATTCTACAAGGAAGAGCAAATTTTTAGTCTCTTCTGACATCCATGGTGATATTTTCTTTCCAGTATTTTTAATGACCTTTTGCTTTCTTCATGAATGATGTTCTTGATGTCACCTCAAAGTTCATTGGATATTACTGTGCCACATTTATTTTGCAATGTTCTCAAAATTCAGACAGGATAAACTTAAGGTTGTATTTTGGCTCTTGCTGACTTGTTTTAATGTTCTTTAGCTTTAACCTGAACTTGCATATGAGCAGTTGACAGTCTGTTCCACACTGAGTAGCTGGCCCCGTCTTAGCTGCTGATATTGAGCTGTTCCACCTCTGCCCAGAGATGTAGCCAAGTTGATGTCTGTGTATCTGCCTGGAGAAGTCTACCTATGTAGTCACCATTTGTGTTGTGGAAACAAGCTATTTGCGACGAAGTTGTTAATCTTGGAAAATTCTGTCATGGACTTTCAGCTTCATTTCTATCGTCATGGCAATATTTCCAAACTATGGTTCCTTCCTTTTTATTTCCAACTTTTGCATTACAATTGCCAGTAATTATCTGTGCATTTTGATTGCATAGTTGATCAATTTTAGACTGAAAATAGTAAAACTCTTCCATTTTTGTTATCACTAGCTTTAGTGGTTGGTGCTTACTCCAATAGTTGTATTGACTGGGTCTCCTTGTGTACTGATAGAACCCTATCACATTGTGCTCCAAGATAGATCTTGAGATATAATACCCTTCTTAATGATGACCGTGACCCCATTCCTTTTTAACATGCCCAACATAGTAAACTAGATGGCTGTCGTGATTCAGAATGGCCACTGTTGCCCGTTTCAGCTCACTGAGGCCTAGGGTATTGATCTGCATGCATTCCAGTTCACTTCTAATGACTTGAGATTTTCCTAAACTCATCCTTCATACATTATAGGTCACAGTTATTGATAGATGCTTCCCGCTGTTCTCGTTTGAGTCATACCCATCGGCAGTTGAAGGTCCGTAGTCACATCATTATGGTCCACTCGACTTTGAAAAGGCAGCTCTTCCTCAGTCAGAGTTTGAGTGCCTTCTTGAGGGGCCGAGAGTCTATTCATGAGGCTTTCAGGTTCTGAACATTTTTTGCACCATTATTCCTAAGGTATTTAGTGGCTAATTCCTAAAAATTGCCTCTCCTTCCTAGTCTGTTCTTAGTCTGGAAGCTTGCTGAAACCTGTTCCCTTTGGGTGACCCTGCTGGTGTTCGAAATGCCAGTGTCATAGCTCCCATACAAGCCACCACAGTATGACAAACTGGTTTCTGTTTTCTGTTTCTGGAGGTTCCTGAGCTGGCAGTGACAGGGGGTGGGGTGTGTCTGATCAGAGAGCGCTGGGTGTGTTGTGGATCCTCTGCTTCCTTGGCCTGAAGATAGCTGAGGCCATTTGATGGCCTTGTTACACATTGTATGTAGTACTTCAGTAGTCTCTGGGCTTTGCAGAGTGGCCCTGTGGGAACTGATCTTTTTCTCCTGGTTCATATTCAGAACTCCAGATATCTGCTGGGTTTCAAGAGTTGTCCTTAGCAGACAGAGGTGGGCGTCGCAGAGACTTTCATGACCTTGGAGTGAACACGAGACAGAACCTTGACCATGTGAAGGAGTCAAAGACAGGTGAGTGTGTGTTCGCTAGTCTGCGATGTTCTGGGAGTGTGGTGCCGGTGCACAAGGTATTGCTCTTTGCCTGTGTGCTCAGATGTCGAGTCACTGGCAGGAAAACCTGAAGGTAGATAGTCAAGGTCTTGCCACCTGTCCTGCTTGCTTCTGTCCCTGCTGGCTCTGAGGAGGTGGTTGGAGACCCTTCACCTGCCCTGAGATCATGAACAGAGGCCATTGTTGTTTCTGTCAAACTTTGCCATATTTATTTGGCAAAGATATTTATTTGATTTTTGTTAAATTGCTTCTTGTGACGGGGTATTGGACTCTCATTGTGTGCTGCTTTAAGTGCTCACTTACACGGAGTGATGGGTGCCCTAGTGGGTTAGGTGCTGGGCTGCTGTTCAAAGCATCAGCTGTTCATACCTACCGGCTACTCTGTTGGGAGTAGGATGAAGCTGTCTCCTGTCCTAGTAGACAGCCTTGGAAACGCTCTGGGAATGGAATGGACCGGGAGGAAGTGACTGGTTTCTTCACAGATGCTGTAGGATGGTGGTCCCAGAGTTGGGTGTCTGAGAGTTCTCCATTGTCAGCTGCTGAGCCTCCTCTCTGCAGACTGTCTGCATTGTCTGGCAGGAAAGGGCTCAGGGAAATGTAGATTATCCATTCTGTTGACAGGTTTGACTTGCTTCCACAGGCACCTCGGGCTCTATCGTAAGGCTGAGCACCAACCATTTCCGACTGACATCCCGTCCCCAGTGGGCCCTGTACCAGTATCACATTGACTATAACCCACTGATGGAAGCCAGGAGACTCCGCTCTGCTCTGCTTTTCCAGCATGAAGATCTGATTGGAAGGTGTCATGCTTTTGATGGAACAATATTGTTTTTACCTAAAAGACTACAGCACAAGGTTATTTCAAATGTCTACAAGGGCAGGGAGGGGGGAAAGTGCCACAATATAAAGTAGCTATAGCGACTTTTAGAGGGACTCGTGACAGAATTTGTAATAAACCTACAGGGCACTTTGGGTATTATCAGATCATTCTCCAACCCACTGCGTAATGCGATCAACATGCTGGCGGAAATGTGTCCACTCTTAAGTCCATTTGAAATGTTTCTACATTAAAAATGGCACCATCTTAACCAGGCATATTATGTTCTTGGGTTCACTTTGCTTCTAACAATCAAAAATTTGGTTTCCACCCTCCCACCTCAGGTTACAGAAGTGTTCAGTCAGACCAGGAACGGGGAGCATGTGAAGATAACGATCACCCTAACAAACGAGCTGCCCCCAACGTCCCCGACCTGCTTGCAGTTCTACAATATCATATTCAGGAGGTACGAGGTGCTTCTTAACACGAAGATGATTTTCGAACCTACAGAAAGGTGGAAAGAATTGTCCTGTAGATGTGTGTCCCTTAGATCCCGTCTTGAGGAATAATTCCAAGATTATCATCAAATGACTGAATTATAACTTCGAAGGTTTAGTTTACTGTTAAAACAACTGATTTTTGCTGTAAGCAAGTTTCACGTCTTTAACTCCTTCATTGATGTCATCACTAGCTCTTGGAAGTACTTTTGCTCTGTCACTAACTTTATATTTGCTCTTGTCACTTCTCCCGACCCCCTGCACCCTCCAGCCTGGTGAGGAGAGACAGGGTGTAAAGGGTTGAGAGGGGGTTTTGTGTGTGTTCTGTCATGGGCACACACCTCTTTCACTTGATCGTTTACCCTCAGTAGGGATTTCTTCTATTCCAAACCTCAACATCAACATAGGCTTTTTCCCCTGGACAGAAGAGGTCTGGGATGAAGCCGGCACTGGCCCATTGGTAATTGTCAGGAGAGGGATGGATGTATGACTGGCCTTTTGAAAGTGGTCACAAGCTCTCTGTCCTTAATGATGAGTCAATTCTTTTTGGCAGATACTTGCTCAACTTAGGAGTCCTGATGATGATGTGGTTGAAGTGCTTGGTTGCTAACTGAGAGGCAGCCTGCTTCCATAAGTATGTCCACCTAGCAAACCCCATGGAGCCCCTCTGCTGTGTCCTAGGATTGTCTTGAGTCTGATGTGATCCAAAGGTCAATTTTATTTTTGTTTGGTTTGTTTGAATTAGTGTAATTGATAGTTGATTTCTCTAAATTAGTTGGCAGACTTGTCCAGTGAAGTACCAATAGCACATGTTCTAGGTTTGGCAGACCAGACAGTCTCTCTCGAAAGTGCTTGTGTTGCAAATATAACATGAAAACAGCCTTAGACAGCATGAAAATGTTTGCTCGCGGTGTGTTTTAATAAAACTGTCCTGATGAACCCCAAAACTTAAATTTCATATAATTTGTGACTCTGGCCTAGTCATTGGTTCCAGCTTATTGACCTCTGCTCACAACACCATGCAATTCTGATGGTAGTATTAGCACTATACTCCCCGTTATCCACTCATTTCTAACTATTCCGACCTTTCGATTTCTAGGCTTCTGAAGATCATGAATCTGCAGCAAATTGGACGGAATTATTATAACCCAAGTGATCCGATTGATATTCCAAATCATAGGTTTGTATGAAATGTACAGTTTCCTTTACCTGGGGCTTAAACGTAGACTTTGAATGTGATACTCCAGTTTGAAATGATCAAACTGGCCAATAAGGCTTTTAAATGGGGCCCATCACAGTAAGTGGATCTTTAATTAGGGTACACTGTGGAGATTTGGATTAAAAAGGACAGCATCCCACACGAGACATATCAGTCATTGGGGAAGCATACATCAGTCATCATGAAGCTTGTCTTTTGTTCTCAGATCATAAAATATATCGACAGCCTTTGGTGATTATTTAAAGTGACTCTGCTGCATCACGAGTGCAGCCACGTAGTTTATTGCGGTGAATGTGAATACTTTTAGTTAGATTGGCCCCTGTCTCCAGTCCCAGCCCATTGTGTAGACTCTGAAAGCCAGATGCATATATGCTCATTGAAAGCAGTAGTTCTAAACGGGTGAAGTCATTGGTGAAGGACTTACATACAGATTTTTATCTGGAGCCACATGTTGGGTGCCATCAAGTTAGTGCCACCTCGAGAGCCCATACGTACAATGCAGAGGAGAGACACTGCCAGTCCTGCGGCCTCTGAGTCGTCCTCATTTCCACTGCCCTTCACGTTTCGCCATGCATGCCGTCCCTTTCCAGGGATTGATCTCTTCTGATAGCATGTCTGCAGTACCTGAGACAAAGCACTGCCACTGTAGCTGCTAAGGAGCATTCAGACTGTAATACTTCCAAGACAGACGTGTTGGTTCTTTCAGCAGTCTGTGGCACGTTCAGTGTTCTTCCCCAGCACCACAGTTCTTTGGTCTTCCTTACTCAGTCTCCAACTTTCCTGTACATAAGAAGCAATGGAAAATACCATGGCTTGGGTTAGGCGCACCTTGCTTTTCAACACTTTAAAGAGGACGTGCAGCAGATTTACCCCTTGCAGGGTGTCGTTTGATCTTCCGACTGCTGCTTCCATGAGCACACTGGACCTAAGCAAGATGAAACCCTTGGCAACTTCAGTCTTTTTGGCCACTGACTGTGATGTTGTCTATTGGTCCAGTTGTGAGAATTATTTTTTATCTACATTGAGTTGCAATCCATATTGAAGGCTGTAGTCCTTGATCAAGTTCAAGTCCTCCATGCGTTTAGCTAGCAAAGTTGTGTCATCTGCATATCTCAGGCTGTTTATAAGCCCTCTTCCAATCCACATGCTTTGTTCTTGATAGTCTTGCTTAACATACAGTTCAAATAAGTATGGTGAAAGGATACAACCTGATGCACACTTTTCCTTGTTGTAAACTACCTAGTGTCCCCTTGTTCTGTTCAAACGACTTCCCTGTACAGATTGCGTGTGAGCCACATAAAACAATAAAAATTGGTATACATTCATGCAATCACAAATAAGAGAGGGCTTCAGAAAGTACCTGGAAAATGTCTGTAATCTTACTAATCCATTTTTCCATGAACTTTTTAAAACACCCTCCTGCCCCATAATATTTTAAGGTAGACCCAATTGGTAAAAGTGGAAAACTCCACCATGTGTAAGACTTGCCTGGGTATTCATGGAGGTGTGGTCTTTTTCTTTGGCAGGCTGGTGATCTGGCCAGGCTTTACGACATCCATTCTTCAGTATGAAAACAACATCATGCTCTGCACAGATGTCAGTCACAAAGTCCTTCGCAGTGAGACGGTGTTAGACTTCATGTTCAACTTGTACCATCAGACCGAAGAGCATACATTTCAAGAACAAGTCTCTAAGGAACTGATAGGTTTAATTGTTCTTACCAAGTGAGTCGGCTTTCCGAAGTGAAAAGTAGTCATTTTGCCCGTCTCTAGATAGCAGAAGAGCCTGGTTCTGTGAAGTTTAGATGGGACGTGGGTTTTAAAGCTGAATATTGGGAACGGGAACAACAGTATGAAAAAGGAGCATCAATGTGATACTTGTCACCTTTCTCCTGAACCATGTTTTGAAAACATTTTACCTGGAAAGGACAAATAGCTAAGGGTTTAGACTCCTTTTAGTTTTTATTTGGCGTTAGTCATTTACTTCCCGTGCCCATCTAGCACATTCTAGGAAAGTCTTTTCCCTTCCTCTTACATCACACGAGGGGATTTGAAATCCTATTTTTAGGGGTGATATATGTAGTCTCGCAGTTCTCTTTATTACCATTACATCTGTGCATTTATTTTAACCGAAAACCAAACCTCACTCCTCCCTCAGGTATAACAACAAGACGTACAGAGTAGACGACATTGATTGGGACCAGAACCCTAAGAGTACCTTTAAGAAAGCTGATGGTTCTGAAGTCAGCTTTTTGGAGTACTACAGGAAGGTATTAAGTCTGTTTTTTATCTTTTCTGATACGATGTCTGAAGATCTTAATAATAGCCTTAAGATTAAGAAATCTCTTCAGTTGAGGGTGCAAATACTTGTGGCATATTTGAAACAGTCCTTTTAAAATTACATGAATGAAGCTGTCTTCATTAGATCACTTACAGTGGAAGTTTAGTTACTGGGATATTGTAATGCCACGTGTCACTTGGCTTTGATCATGAGACTTGCGTCGTCCTGACCCCTTTTCATGGTAGAATGGAAGCTGCTTTTGAACATAACCATGCAGAGGACAAGTCGGTGCAGAGTAAGCCCACAGCACACTGCTCCCACCCACACCCGGACACTGGCGCTCTCACTGGCCAGGGGGTTAGGCCTTTGCTCCTCGAGTACCTCCTGGCCTAGATGTCCTGGAAGTGGGCTGGCTCTTCACATGGGCCAGGTGCATTGACAGTTGTGTTCACAATGGGTCATCTCCCAGCCCTCTGCTTTGGCACAGTAGTCACCCAGTTGCAAAGACTACCAGAGGCAAATCACACCGAGAGAGAACAGCTGCTCACTAGGAGATTGTTTTGTATTCAGAGAGAAACTCGGTTGACGCCTCCATCCTTGGCCATGTTCCAGTCAGTACCCACTAGTAGAAGTTCAGGGGCCCCATCTCTGGAAAACGACCAGTCCATACCCACTAGTAGAAGTTCAGGGGCCCCATCTCTGGAAAACGACCAACAGGAATAAAGCTTATCCTGGAAGTGCAAAGTTACCTCACTTTTCCCACTTTAAGTAGAGTATTTCCAGAAAGCTAGATAAATGGACTATTGTCCCTCTCTGACTGGTGACCTTGAGTGGTCTTGGTGCTGGATGTCTAGTGTGTCCTTGTGTTTGCTCTGCCCAGGCGGAAAACCAGATGCCTCTGTGAGTGTGCTTAGTGGGGAGGTGGAGATGAGGGGGGTGACAAGGTACCAGGAAGACAAGCCACATCATTTTGGCTTGACAATGCTGCTGCACCTTTCTACTCTGAAGATGCCCACCAGGTTCTTTGGGGAACCCAAGCAGCTCTGAGAAAGGGGTGTTGTTGTTTACCTTAATGGCTGTTGTTGGGCAGAGAGCAGCAGAGTCACGTGGATTCAAAGGTGGGTGTCAGCACAGCAGGGTGCTGATAGCTCTCAGGGTCAGTGGCCCACATGTGGCCAGCCCTGAAGGCAGACAGAGTCCCAGTGAAGTCCCAGAGGAGGAAGGAAGGTGAAGTGGCAGAGAGCAATTCCCAGAGTCTCTCACTCTTCATACAGCAGGCTTTATGGCATTCAGGAGGTGTCAATAGGCTGTGACTTGGTTGACAGAAGACACTCAGATGTTGCATGTGGAGCGAGCATACAAATCGGAATTCAACCTTTACCCTACCGGACTATCCGAGAGGAATTCCTTCACCTTTCCTAACTAGGGAAAATCTCACTGCCACCAAGTTGATTCTGACTCATAACCACCTTATACAATGGGGTAAAAGTACTCCTGAGACTAACTCTTTATGTTAGCCTCACCTTTCTCCTGTGGAGCAGCTGGTGGTTTCCAACTGCTGGCCTTGGTGATCACAGCCCAACACATAACCATTCTGTCACCAGGCCATAGTGACTATAACTTCTCCAGGACTCTGGTTCTCTAACCCCTCTGCTGTGTGTCTTGCTGAGCATCGCTGCTTCTTTGACTCATCTTCAAACCACACTAATCTGCAGCTACCCGGAACTGGCAGGTGGCTTCTTAATTGCCCCCGAGGTGCATTAAAGACATCCAGTTTCCCCAGAGAGATCCTAGCTGGGGCCCCAGCTGCTGGTCTTGCTTGGTGCTGCGCTAGCCTTCCTCCCTAACAATTGGGCTGCCCTCAGAATGAAACCACACACTTTAGGCTACAGGCCTCCCGTCAGACTCCTGCTGAGGGAGCTCCTCTTACATGCTGCTCCTTGGAAGGGGGTGAGGTCAAGATCTTGGAATCGAGTGTCCCTAGGACTTGCTAGTACTCTTGTTGCTTTGCTGATTTGAGGTTAAGCAAAACACGTTAAAACATGACTCATCTGTGGAGAGCTTGTTAGGGTGTCCTCAAAATAAAAGGTCCAATCCAAACAGTAACCTCTGAGGGCGGGGGAGTAGGGGCAATTATAGGGGCTTATAGATGAAGGTTTAGAAAAACAGAAAATCAGCGAGAAAGGGAATGTTTTTCTAAGACCGCGGCAATGCACCTGCTTGCTCTGTGAGAATGTCCTGATCTTGCCCCTTCAGACTTTTTTTGTTCCTCAAACTCAACATTGAAAAGGGATGCAATTTGAGTCACTGGAGGACGCCAAACTGCCATGTGTTGGTGTCCGTCAAAGAGCACAGAGAGAGATGGAAACATCACTGTAGCAGCGTACAGGCCTAGATGAGGAAAATGTCGGACAGAGCTTTGCAGTGTGATATTTTTGTTTTACAAAAATTTCTGTGGTTTTGTATCAATATTTTCTCACACATCTTCATCTGGAGAAGATTAAGCATCTTGAGTTTGTTTTTCTACATGATGTGAGATGTGTGCCCCATTTCATTTTTACACAGGTGAAGATCCAGTTTTTCCAGCACTATTTGTTGAAAAGTTCTCTCCCACTCAACAGGGAGGGATTTAAAGATATATATATATTGCCATATCTTGCACCATCCAGTGTATCTGTTCGCTTACCATTCTTTTATTCATTCCCCTCGACTAGGGTTATATAGTCATCGTTGCTATCAGCCACCCCACCTTCTGTACCCTCAGGGAATTATTACTCCTGTTAGTATTTCTGAAGGGTTTATCTAGCTTGAGTTTCATGCATCAAACAATTTTAGTTATACAAATGAACATACAGAAGTCTACCAGAATTAATGAAGTAAAACTAAGACCATAACAGTAGGGGGAGGAAATATTAAAGAACAATAATAATAATATTTAATATAACAACCAAACCAAACCCACTGCCATCGAGACGATAGCAGCTGGTGAGTTTGAACTGCTGACCTTACGTAATCCTAGGCCCACCTTTCTCAGGCTTAGAGACGAAACCAAAAGGAGCCTGGATGGAGTCATGGGTCATGCATTGAGCCGGGTTCCTCGGGTAGGTAGGGGAGGGAGAGGAAAAGGAAGCTGATATCAGAGTGCAAGAAGAATGTTTTGAAAATAATGGTGGCAGCAATTGTACAGTCATGATCTAATTAAACTATGGATTTTTGTAATATCTTTAGGAGCTCACAATAAAATGGAAAAAAATAAATCAGATCTTTATTTTGGAAAAAAACCAGTGGGGGGAGTTTATAATGGAAAAGCTTCGTGGTGTTCACAAAGGTGAAGATGGGGTATTTGGATGTGGGGCATGCTAAAAGAATTGACCGCCTTTGTGTTTCAAACACAATCACTGCCATCTAGTGGCTCAGATGCACAGCTGCCCTGTAGGGAAAGGCAGAACTGCCCCTGTGGGTTGCTGAGACAGTAACTTTTTATGGGAGTGGAAAGCCTCATCTTTCTCTTATAGAGCAGGTGGTGTGTTTGAACTGCTGGCCTAATGGCTGCTTTTTTATTGTTGCATCATATTCCATTATATGGATGTACTAGAGTTTATTTTTCTATACTGGGTTTTTTGGTTTTGGTTGTCTGTGTTTTTGCTCTTATGGGCATTGCTAAAAAAAAAATAGGTGTGCATATGTCCATGTTATATTTTTTTATTTCTTAGAGTGCTGGATCGTAAGGCACTTGTATTAAATTTGTTTAAGGAAATGCCATGCTGATTTGCATACTGCTTGTACAATTCTACAGACCCACCAACAATGTAAAAGTATTTTGATCTCTCCATATCCTCTTCAGCATTTATTTTGTTTTATTAAATTTTACTAAAAGTGTTTGTGTGAGGTGGTATCTCATTGTTTTAATTTATATTCTCTTATTTCTAATGAACGCGAATATTTCTTCATATGGTTCTTGGCCACCTGGATGTTGTCTTTGGTAAACTGTCCGTTCATATTGTGTACCCATTTTTTGATTGGTTATTTGAATTTTTCTTGTTAAGATGTAGTTTTTTATAGATTTTGAAGGTTGGCCCTTTATCTGATCTATCATTACTGAATATTTTTCCCACTCTGTGGGTAGTCTGTTGACTCTCTTGATGTGCCTGAATGTGGTGTTTTCAGTAGACCCCATTCTTTGTTTTACCCTGTACAGCGTGGGTATTTTTCATTGTGCTCGGTAGGGTGTGCCTGCCTTGTATGAGGGTCCTTAAGTCTGTCCATATTTTTTTTATTGATAGTCTTTATAATTGTGTGGTTAATGTTTTAGATCTTTATCCAGTAGTAGTAGTTGTGTTAAAGTGTTTGTTTTAATTCTTTCTGCCTTTTGGATATATGCCTTTATTTTGCTATGAATTAACTTCTGAGTACTGCTTTTGCCATGTCCCAAAGATTTTGATATGTTCTATTTTCATTTTCATTTGTCTCAAAGAATCTTTTGTATTTTCATTTCTTCAATTACCCAGTGGTTGTGTTTTTCAATTTCCATGTCTTTGTTTTTTTTTTGGAGTTAATTGGTTTATGGTTGATTTCTAATTTTATGGCATTGTCATCTGAAAAGGGTTGTTGTATCATCTTAATGTTTTATAATTTATTGATGCTTGCTTTATGACATAAACTACCCTAAAATAGCTACCATGGGCATTAGAGAAGAAAAAGAAATGAGTTTTTTATGAGTGTAGTATTATGTATATTCTTTTGATATGAAGTTGATTTGTTATTTTATTTTTCTGTATCTTTATTGATTTTTTTTTAGTTGAGCAATCTTTATCTGAAAGTGATGTATTGAAGTCTCCTAGTATGATCATATTATCTATTTCCCTTTTCATTTCTGTAAGAACTTGATTATTTTGGTGCTCAATTTCATTTGGTATTATATTAATTATGGTTATGGTTTCTTGTGCAATTAAATCTTTCATAATTATATAGTGACCTTCCTCTCTCATT